ACTTGTACAGCACAGCTGAAACGTGCACATGTATTTTCTCTTCCCAGGACAGTAGATCCTCCGCACAAGATGTGTGCAGCCCTCTCCATAGCACACATTCTGTCCTCTCTCTGCTTTATGTTTACTTGTGGGTAAGGAAAGGCTAGGGGACAAAGGAGCTACAGGCTTCCCTGTCTTTGTCCTTCTTTGCCATGTCTTTATTTGGCATATATGTTTGCTTAACAGAAACCTAGCATTAGTAAAATGTGGTGATGGGTTATTTGTGCTTCTTAAGATGTCATTGCCTCTTTTCTGCAACCCAAGAAAAGATGGGTTTGAAAGGAAAGGATGGTCTTTGGGGGGCATCAGTGCCCATCCATCCCACACCCCATTCCCAGTTTGCTCTCTCTTAGATCACAAGCATCCCTAGTTCAACCTGCACTTGACGTGAGCCTTGAACTCCTGCTCACCTTGGGTCCTGTGGATTTCGTGTTCAAGAGGCATCCTAAGCCCTACTATATAAACAGCGTGGCAGGAAGGACAGATGCACATTGTGCATGAATCTCCTCTATTCAGGTGTGTGCCCCATTTCCCCCAGGCTTCATGTCACACAGCATGGATTGCAAGATAAAATTATTAAGGGTGACAAGATTGTGCTGGCAGAGCCATAAGCCAAGGTGGGCCTTCTGAGCATGAGGTCTGGTGTGACCCCAACCTTGGTAGGCCCTGAAGCCTGTGGTGCCAGGGATGCTTATCCTCCATTCCTTTGCATTTCAAATCCAAAGGCCGACTTTGTTCAGGACTCCCATGGCATGGGCTTCCCAGGACTGGAATGGCTGTCAGTGATGTAGGATGGTCCTGGGCAGATTATCCATCTTCCCTAAAAGTCCATTTCCCCACGGCTAAGTAAGAATGGTCTTGTGGGAGGACTGGGAAAATATACCCAATGACCTTATTCCAGGGCTTTGCATGCAGAAGCTGCTTGGTACATGCTAGTCAGATATAAAGGTTCCTGATGAGCATCCAACTCAGCTAGAAAGGGTATACATTTCCCAGTGGGCACATGGCTGCAGGCTTGATCATGAAGTGGGCTTCAGCAGCATCCCTCCCACCACCACTGTTACCTCAGTTAAAAAAGCCTCACATAAGCCGGACATGGTGGCTCCCACCTGTGATCTCAGCACTCTGGGAGGTTGGAGGCAGGACAATGGTAAACTGGAGTCAAACCTTAGGCAGTGTAGCCACTTGGCAAGACCTTGTCTCAAAACAAAAAGAGCTGGGGATGTAGCTCAGTACAAGTTAATGGGCTCAATCCTTTCCCAAAAAAGAAAAAGAAAGCCTCAAATGGAAAAAAAAATGCACAGGGAAAGTCCTGTCTGAGTGGCGTGTGGCATTGTGAGGAGGGACAAGGAAAGCCCTCTCCACGTAGGCATGTGTGTCTTTATGGGAAGCCACCAGAGTATTGGTACGAAGTGTATGGGCCCTGGATTATACTTTTTAGTACTGCAAAATAAAAGAGAAATAAAAACAACAACAGCAATAAAACCCTAAAAAATTCTCCAAAAAATGAAAGAAAAATTGTTTTAGTGCTGCAGTCTGGCCCTTTTCCTGGTCCTTCAACAGCTTCCACCTGGGTCACTGTCTACTTAAGAATTTACCTAACCAGAATCACTCTAAGTGTGTCCCCAAGGTCCTTGTATCTAAGTCACAAGTGCAGAATCCTGGGTCCAGTGCCAAGCCTTTGAACTGACATCCCCGGGTTAGTCTGACCCAAGAAACGGCCTATAGTGTGATGGCTCATGCACTGTTGCATTGTCCAAATGGGAGAACTTCTGTGGGAGTCTAGGTGTGGGGAAGAAGGAGACCTTCTTCATGTTGTCATTTTTCATCACCAGGCAGATGAGTGCCAGTGATTGCTGCCTGTTAGAGAAAAACTGAGTCCAAATCACAGGACTAAAGACCGTCTTCCCACCTGAGGACCTTTGAGATGGTAATATGGATGGCTCATACTCTGTGGGTATGCACTGGTAAGGCTGTCTATTTGTTAAGGTGTTAAAAATCTTCCGTGGGGGTTGGTAAATGCTCACTAATTGATTCCCCAGGCCTATGTCTTCTGTGATCCATAAGTAAAACATTCACCCTGGTCTAGCAGGGATACAGCACTTAGTCACATTGATCTGTGTGACGCTAATTAGCTTCTCATAGGTCCCACTTCCCTGGCACTAGGATTGGCACTTCCAGGCTAGCTTGCAGGGGAGAGGGATGGTCTTGGATGTGTGGTACCATGGCTAGTTTGCCTTGACTCTGGTTTCAGGGTCCTTGTCCTATAGGCCACGAGGGAAAGAGATCGAGAGGTGAGGTAGTACTCTTGGTATCTGGTGGTGCGGGCACCCTGCGGGTCAATTCCAGCTGTGGTGCCTGTAGAAATGCCCTTGCTTGGCTGCTCCTGTGAACTGCAGCCTCCATGGTATTTTGGCTCTGAGGAATTCTGGAAGACAGAAGGTGAGCAGGAAGGAGGCAGGAACAGGAGTCCACAGACATGGGGGCTCTGCTGGCCTGACTTGAGAGGTGAGAGGCTACAGCGTGGGGCTGGGGGATTCCAAGGCAGATTTCCTTTCCAATTGTTTAGTGAAGTTTTCCCAAAATACTGAAATGCCCACCTATCATAACATGAACCATGACAATTTTATTAATAGAAAGAAGGTGAACGCTGGTGTATTTTCCCCTAGCCAAGCACATTTGTTAATGCAAGTGATATAATTCTTAACTTGAGTTACCATAATTATTCCCACCATCCCCATTAGAAAATTGCATTAAAACTTACATACACATGCTCCTGTTTAGAGAATACTGGGAATTAAATATTGTAAATGAGTATGTTGATTAATTGTTCATAAGTTTTAAAACCTTTGAATATTGTCCTGGTTTTTAAAAATTTAATTCTCCACCCTATTCCTTTGGTCTGCACCTGTTTGCTGCTGTGAAAAAAAATAGACTTTTAGCTTGAGCTCTGATATAGTGAATATACATTCACTATATCACTTGAGAAATATATATATATATATATATATATATATATATTTTGCTTCTTGATGGGCTCATACTTTTTCTTTAAGAGAGAGTAGCTGTGTGCTTTAGATGCAGAAGGGTGTACTGGTTATGGTGCCAGTATGTGGGCACAAGAACTGCTGCAGTGTGGTTATTCCTTCCTTCCATAAACCCAGGTAATGTGAGCTGTCACATTTAAAGTTTTATTAGGTAACGTTCAGGTTCAGACTGGAGCCACTCTGCGCTGCTCCTTCAGGGCTCCATGAGGAAAAGAGCAAGTAGAAAACTCACTTTGGAGTTCTAAGTAAAGCTGTGAGGGGCACACTGCTTTCAGTCCCCATGGTTCTGAGGAACGCTACAGGGAAAGAGGACACAGCAAGGCCTCACAGAAGGGAAGTAGAAAGCGCTTGCACTTAATATGTCAAAAGGCACTCCAAGCTATGTGAATGCAGGCAGAGTGTTACAGTCTCTAGCCAGTCCAGTCATGATCCTTTGGCAAACTGCACAGTCACGGCTGGGATGCATTGGGAGGAGTGGTACTATATAAATGTCAGATGTTACATAAATGTCAGAAATGATTATTGTTTGTTAATGGGGGCTAAACCGTTCCTAAGCGAAGAAGCAAAGACAGAACCTACAGCCAGGAAATTCTTAGCAGAGGCTCTAGCCACCAATAACCCCCAAGAAGGTAATACTCATCCCTGATTCTATGAAGGAAACTGGATGGGATTTGGGGTAGAAAACAAAGGCCGGGGTGGTCCCACTGCCACCACCTGCTTTTCAAGGGATCTCAGGCCAGCAGCCCCTGAACCTTCTGGAGACTGAGGGAGCTCACCTGTAAAGTGTCAGTAATTGTAACACCTGCCCTACTTCTTATTGTATCAGGTTTGTGAGAAACAAGAGTTCCCACGGTCTTGAGTGCCTTGCAAGATGTGAGGCATTGCAAGGACGACCAGACAACTGCCATCTAGAACGGCCCTGGAGTCTGGCCTATGGCTTCCCTTTGACAGTATCCCTGAGAACTTCTGAAAAGAAGCCAGATGAGGACGATGTGGCAATGGTGACTGGCTGATGCCCGAAAACACCAGGCTCCTTCTCTGTCGCCCAAGAGCAGGGATCCTGCCTACTGGCCCTGACTCTGCCAGCCGGTGAGCTTGGACCAGTAACTGAGGAAACGCTGGAACTGAATGCCAAGGGCCTTTCCGGCTCTGACGCTGGGTCTAAATCAGGCTCAACGCTTGGCTCTAGCAGAGATTCACCTTTCGCCTTCAGGAGCCAGTTTCTCCACTACTCTTAGGATGCGGGAAGCGGGCATTCGGACTCGGAAAGGGTGGGGGCTGTGCGTTCCAAGTGAGTGTACACGGTGAGGAAGCTGCACCCTTGGAAGTGAGCTGGAGTGGGGGCTGGTGAAGAAGGGGTGTCCAGGGAGAGTGAGTGCTGCGAGAAGCCAGGATGCAGGGAACACTGCAATGAGGTCATGACTGTCGCAGGCAGGAGAAGCTGGACATCTTCTGGTGGGGGAAGGGGAGCGCCCTGAATTTCTATTTGCAGAAAGTCTCTCCCTACTTCCCCCAGCGTCCCCTCTCCCGCTACTCTCTTCTCCCACCACCCAGGTCCTTACACCGGTCCGACCCTAGCAAACCCTCCCTGCAGCACAGCCAGTGTCCGCCTCCTCCGTGGTCCTGTCTAAAGCCATCAGGATTGTTTCCAAGCTGACTCACACCACTAATGTCAGGGAGCCGTGTCACAAGGCGCTGGGCTCTGCAAGCTGTTGCTTGCGCGGTCGCTGCCGCAGCCGTGGCTGCCGGGAGGGTGCAGCAGGGTCCGCTGGAGGGGCGGGGCCTGGGCGGGGTCCGGGGCGGAACCCGCCCCTTGGCTTGCTGGCCCCACCCCTCTTCCTCCCTCCCCGCCGGACCGCAATGATTTAGAAGTTCAGGAATCCCACGTGACGTCACCGGGGGGGTGATGTAATGCACTCTAAATAGAATGTATTGTAATCTTTGCTCAGTCCAACGTGGTCCCTTCACCCAGGCTCCGCTCTTGCCTTCTCCACACTTGTTTGGTAAGTTCCTAAAAATACGGCTCGGCCACTTCTGGGGCTTTTGCATTTAGCCACTTTTGTTGCACTTGCCGCGGGAGCCATCTCGGGAGCGTACTTGTTTGCAGGGGTTGGTTCTCGGCAGCAGCCGCGAGGTTACTTGGTCCAATGGGCAGGTCACAGGGCAAGGAGTAAGGAAGATGCGATGCAATCTTTTTGGAGGGTTATCTGTGTTTGTAAACATTTTGGCGGACCAAAGGGAAGTCCGGCCCCAATTACTAGTAGACTGGAATTCCGCTGTGTCCTGTGGCCGCCCCAGAGTCCCCACGCCGTGTCCGTCCCGGAGCGCGTCTTGGTGGCCGCTGCGCCGTGCGACTGGAGAGATGCTCGCTGGAGCCCGCGCCGTGTCAGCCCGAGCGTGCGTGCGTGCGTGGGAGCGCGCGTGAGTTTCCCTGACGCGGGGGACAGTTATGAATCGGGGGTGTGTGTTTGCCTCCAGAGACCTGGCAAAGTGAGGACCCCTCCAGAAGTGTGGTCAAGCGGCGGCCGCAGCAGCGGAGACGACGAGCCAGGAGCCTGCCCCCCGCGCCCCCAGCTTCCCAGTGATGCGGCGGCGGAACCCCCGGAGAAAGTTTGCAAACTTCCAGCGGGCGCGGCAAGGACGCCGGGTCACCTAGGGGCGGGCGGGCGAGCGCACCCGGGCTCGCCCTTTCTCGGGTGCCGAGCCTGCGGCCACCTCTCCCGCAGAGCTGCCCTCCGAGGCTGGTGGGCGCGCGCGCCAGGGAGGGGAGGTCGCCCCGGCCGAGCGGGCGCTCGACTTTGCTCCTGGCGCTCCAGGCTCGGGAGAGCGGGGCTCTGTCCGCTGACGCTCCGCCGGCTGCCTCGCGCCTCCGTCCCTTTCTCCTGGCATCCTTACTTCTTCCCCTCGGCTGCCCCAAATGACAGCTCGGGCTGGAGCCGCTGAGGCGCCCAGACAGTGCTGAGCCCCGGCTGCGGAGCCTTCCTTTGCGGCAGATCCTCCACCGTGCCACTTAAACTTTTCACCAAGTTCATAGAGGGGCAAGATATGGGAGAATCAAGGCGATGATTCTTCCAGGGGTAGGAGCGAGAGAATGGGGGTTTGTATCCCGCTTCTTCTTGGCCATAAATGCATTTCCAGAGGCTGTCTGACAAAACCCACTTCTCTGGATGGGGGCTGCCCCCACTTGATGCTCATGCAAGGCCACAGACTGGAGTATGCTGTTTACATATTTCATTGTCAGTTTGCAGAGGGTTTGATTTTTAATTTTTCCCTCTCTCTGACGTGTGTCAAGGAATAAAAGCTGTATACAGGTCCATTACGTCATTCTGCAGGCCAGTAAGTGTTTGATTAACAGCCTTAGATACTCAAGGGATCAGGGGCTTAGAATGCTGACAAAGCAACTCCCCCCACCCTATACTCCTGCAACTGCCCGTTCCCTGGGCATCTCTATTGCCCTCTGGTTCCAACCCCTCCTTTTCCTCCCTTCACCCGCCCACATCGTTATCATCTGGGCCCGCCCCCGCCTTTTACTGCTTTCCCCGGGGCGAATACTGTCCCTTGAGTGTGGGTAAGAGCTTCTGGTATCAGAGGGACCACAGTGCCTGCTCAGAGCACAATCTGCCCTGTTCTATTATTTAAGAAAGGCACAGGCACACCTTCTCCAGGGTGAAAATGCTTACCTCTGATAGAAAAGGCATCCCAGGAAATGTTTAGAAGCGGGGAGAATACTGAGCCCTTGCGTTGACTTAGGAAAGCGAGGAACCCACAACCAACAAGGTCCTTAACTTCTTCACCTAGTGCCTGCTTAGAACTGTTCAGTGCACGAGGAAGCTGCAGCCAACTAAACTCAGTCTAGCCAAAAGGGCCAAGATTAGATGCTTTATTTCCAAAGTGAGAGCCTGTGAGTTGTTGAACGCAAAGTACAATGCAATAAATTGCTGCGTGTTTCTGCATTATTTTTAAAGTTTCTATGTTGAAAGAGGAAGTTAAATGCATGTCAATGAATTGAGTCAGAATCTGTCTATCTGGCAGTTGAAATAAAAAAAAAAAACCTTTGTGATTTGTTCTAGGGATAAAAGTAAAAAAGTACTTTTGGGAGTGAGGGAAGTGTGCAAACTAAGTAAAAATAAAATTACTAACAACAGGCTTTTGGATGGAGAGGGGCCGGCAAGGGATTTGGATGTTCTCTGATTTGGAGTTGGTGAAAAGTAAATAGAAGAAAACTTACTCTGAATAAGTGGGAATTTCTTGCAGGGCACATGTTTTGTTATAATCAGATCCACTTTCTTCAAAGTGAAAGCCAGGCTGTAGGGTAGGAATTTGTGAAACTGCTCTCCGGGTCTAATTGACGCCCCTTGCCCAAGTTTGTGGCACTATTTGTTATTTATTCACAACTAGAGATGAAATAGTATAACCCTACACACAATATATGTGCTTAAAAATGTTAAACGTCTTGTTTGTGATGCAGAGGCCTTAAGGGGGAAAAAAATGGCCTGGGTCACGGGTACTGGAGAGCATGATGAATGATCAGTGATTTGGTGATCAGTGATTAGTGGTTTTATTCAAACTGTTACCTCTGACCAGAAGCACACATCAGAGGATTAACAGGCTCTTTAGATAAATGCTCATTAGTGGAAGGGGGAAAAGCAAAGATAATAGGCATGCACCCAGGGACAACTTTCGAAGAAAATCATTCCCGTCTTCAGAATAATAAGCTCTATTAACAGAAAGCCCTTTTAATTTAAAACTTGCTTTTATCTTGTAAATCAAAGTTAGATGTAAAAGTTTGTAGTGCCATTATAACCTAAATTTTCCCATATCCACTAGATGTGGATTATCTCAGTAGCGATATCTTTTTTTATTTAAATAAACAATTGGACCTTTAGAGCAGCTGAGCCCTGACAAGTTCTTAGCTCCCAGGGTTTGAAGGTGTCCCCCCTCCTAGGATGGAGATTGCAGCCTGCTAACTAGGTGGCGCACTGCTCCTTGGCGCGCCGCGCTGCGCAGCGCAGGAGTGCAGACGGCCGGCCGAGCGTGTAGCTGCTTGAGAGATGTTCTTCAACTCTTGCAACAAAGTTGAGGCTGTGTAGTGTTGGAGGCTAGACAGTTCTACAAGGTTCTAGTCACATTTTCCATGTCAGTTAAATCGAGGGAGTTCAAGGCTACTGGAAAAATTGGTCTCATTGCTCAAAGAAACAGAACCAGAGAGAGAAGCAGGGACAAGAACCAGGAGTTACCTCTGGGGCAGAAGTGATTGTAAAATCCTATACCTGTTCTTTCTTTTTTAACCAAGAGCTGGTTTCACAGTCTTTTGGTCTGAAATACTGAAGCAAAAACTCAAAGGTTCATTTTCTTCCCAATCTTGCTGGTGAAAAACAAGTTACCAGAAAGAAAGGAAGAAATCATTTGTTTTGGTGACAACAAGAAGAAACACATTGCTGATTTTATTCTACGGATAATGGTAAGATGATGTTTACTGTGTTTTACAGGCAGGGGAAGCGTTTTGTGCTCGGTTAAGTGGGACCCATGTTGTATTTTCAAAGGCAGAATTTGGAAATGGAGCTTTTAGTTTGTACAGAGCTTTAGCGTTGCTCCTGTCAGTTTCCTGGAACTTGTAGCAACTTTTGTGTAAGAGTTTTGTGTGGTTCTATGCTTGTGCATGAAGACGATTATTTTCTGGGTAAAATACGCTCATGAGCACATGAACTGCAGTGGGGAAGCTGTGAAACTTGTTAGGTAATGTGTGCCAGGTAAGAATTCTCTTTTCCAGAAGCTTTCGTGCATCACTTCAATAAATACTTGAGTTTTATTAAGGCCTTCTTTTTAAAAACCTGGTAATTAGAAACAAAATAAAAGAAAAGCTCCACTTTTCACATTCAAACCTAGACATGTACTCCCCGGAAGAAGTGCGCTATTGATTGAACTCAGCTATTTCTTTAGTTCTGAGACATGCAGAGAAAATGATAAAAGAACTCACTGTATTTCCCTTTAACCTTTTCATTTTCCTTTCTCTGTAGCATTTTATGTAGATCTGTTGTTATTAAATGTACTGATAATACTGATTTTTATTGTTCAACCTTACTTAGGTAAACATGTTTGCTTAACTGGTACTATCTCTAAACCAACTGTTTTTAATGCGAATTACTGATGTCCACAGATTACCTGTTGAATAGAAGTTGGTTGTGACTTCATTTACAGCTTCTTTCTACAAGACAGTAAAAACCATGCCTTTTTCCCCCTATATCTATTTTCCTGTATCTTTTGTTTGAATAAATGAGGTTAAATAAATGGTAGATTGTCAGAGACTTTTCCTGCCTTTCAAATTTATATAGTAGAATATTGTCATTATAGCTATTTCCTAGTTCCCATATCTGCATGTTCAAAACTAATCAGTCTCCGAATTTCCATGGCCATTCATCTTCAGTCAAGTTCCCAATCTTCTGATTTCCTATTATAACTTTTGAGCAATGATGCAACATTGCCCTATAGTATTTCCTCAGCCCTGGCATCCCTTTTCTTCTTCAACTGAACATTATCTTGTGGGGAGTATGTTCATTGCTGGATCTCCAAGATGTAAACATTGTATCTGTAGTTGATTTACTTCTGGTTGTATTGTTAGATTAAATCTAGGATCTGGGTGGACTTATTTTCATCTTTTCTTTTCTTTTCTTCTTCTTTTTTTTTTCCTTCTTCACTTCAAAGCACTGCTGTTAGTCAGAAAATTAATGTGATCATGGCTGGTGTCTCCCATCTATATGCTTCTTTTGCTTCTTACAAATTGGATTTCTGCAGCAATTTAAGGTCTTTTTTTAGAGGCAGCTTTCTTGGATGAAGATGGAATAATGATCTCAGTCAATTCATTATCTCGTCCAGTTTGACTACCAGCTGTATTATGGGAATCAACCAATGCTTTTATGTATTAGTGCTTAAAAATTTAAATCGATGACTACTTCTCTGAGTTATATTTAAGAAAATTATGCCATTGAGATATAATAAATTAGGG